ATGACATGCTGGTACCATAAGGCCAGGTGAACCATGGGTTTATGAACAGTGCATTACACGGGAATGCTCAGTCCCTCTTGAAAGATAATTTGTGTCCCGGGCACCACTCAAAGAAAGATTAGCATGTAATTAGCTCTTGGCAGTGCAGTGTTTCCAAACTGCAGGGTGTCAAACAGCTTTTTAGGTGGCACACAAACCAGGCAATGGGTGAGGTGAGCCTGGGGAGAGGAAATCACTGCTGATTTGCTCAGAGACAGGTCAATTCTTTTTGTTGCCTGTGTTAACCAACACTTCATCACCTTGTACACATTCTTCATCGAATTGAGTCACTTACTCCACAAACTCCATTTCTTGGTAATGACTTTTATAATCACTGCATTTTCCTGCTTGAAGAGACATGCACAAAATTAGACTTGGAAAGCAGGGACAAATGCTGTTGGAGAGAAGGCACACTCCAGCACAGCAGCAGAGACATCTGGAAACGTGTGCAGTCCCTCTGCTGCAGACAGAGTGAGAGAGGCAGCTGTGCGCATCCGCGGCATGAGCTGGGCATCTCCTCAGAGCTTTCTGCCCAGCGCTGCGCAGAGCAGCACCCCTCTCGATCGCACTCACTGCTCCCATCCTGGCAAGCTGTGTGCGATCTTCAGGCCCAAATGCAAAGCAGCTAGATTAGGCCATTACGGATGGGAAACTTCAGGACAGTGCACCAACGGAACCTGCAACCTCTTCCCCTCCCCACAGGGTCTGGCTGCCAGTGCCCAAGGCCAGCTCTCACATGGTGCTGCCACACAACTCAGCTGCAGCTGTGTCCCCAAACCCTGAGGAAACTTTCAGTGGGGCTGTACGGGGTGTGGGTGCCCTGGGGCTGGTGGGGGCTGGCAGGCGGGGGCTGTGAGGGGAGGCTGGGGCTGCCCCGGGCCGGACACAGCCGGTTCCAGCCGGCTCCAACCCACCCACCGCAGGGCACGGGTGGGCCCCGCGGCCGCGGTGGCAGCACCTTGGGGAGAGCCGAGGTGAGGAAGGGCAGAACGCTGCTCGGCTGGGAGGAGAGAAGTGTGAGTGTCGTGGTTTGAGCCTGGTCGGCAGCCAACCACCACACAGCCACTCTCTCTCCCTTCTCTTCCGTCAATAAGAAGGGACAGAGTGTCGGGCTTGGGGTTTGAGATAGGACTGGGATGGGGAAAAAATCCCCCTTTTTGGGCACGAGCAAAAGGCAGACTCATTAGGGGAACTTAAAAAAAGACATACAATTATTATAGACACTAACAACACGTAACAGAGTAGGACAGTGAGAAGCATTGCCACATCTTGAGAACACCTTCCCCCCACCCCTCCCTTCTTCCCAGGCTCAGCTCTGCTCCCGATATCTCCACCTCCTCCCCCAGTGACGCAGGGGCAGGGAATGGTGGGATGCAGTCAGTGCTGCTGCTTCTTCCATCTTCAGTGGGGGGAGCTTCTGGAACTTGTTCCCCCTGCTCCATCATGGTCCCCCTCTCACAGGAGACAGACCTCCACAAACTTTCTCCGACATGAGTTCCTCCCACGGGCCGCAGCATTCCCCACACTGCTCCATCGTGGGTCACTAACTTTCTCCAACTGAATTCTCTCCTACGGCTGCAGCCCTTCCTGAGCTGCTCCAGCGTGGGACACCCCCACATGCTGCAATCCTCCCAGCACTGAATTACAGCAGCCGGGTCTACCTTTTCCCACAAGACCCCAGCGTTTTTCGGGAACAGCACCTTGATCACCAGGTGGAAGCCATAGGCCATAAATCAGTGTCTGCTCCACTGTAGATCTTCATGGGTGGCAGGGGGGGCCGCCCTGCCGTCTCACCACAGGATACAGGGGGGTCTCTGCTCCGGCACACCTCCCCCCTCCTTTCTTCCTCCGTTTCTCCACTGACCTTGGTGTTCACGCAGCTGCAGCAACTCCTCCTCACAAGTCTGACTGCCCGTCACCACGTCCCTTCTTAAGTACGTAATTGCAGAGGTGCAGCTGATTGGCTCAGTTTCCAAACAGAGGTGGAGCTGACTTGGAGCTGGGGGTGCTTCAAGAAGCTTCTCACAGGTGGCGTTCCTATAGCCCCATCCCCTGCCACCAAAAAAACTCCACCACTCACTCAACCCAGGACAGTGAGAAACAGTTCTGCTAGTCCTGAGGGGAGAGGGAGAGGAGGGGGAGGAGGTGCTTCAGGCACCCCAGCAGAGATTCTCTGAAGTGCCTGAAGACACCATGGTGGAGCAGGGGAAGAGTGTGAAAAGGAGGAGCGAGAGAGCATCTGGGTGGGCATCTGACAGCCAGGTCAACCCACCACAAGGGCACGTTCAGATGAAGAAAGGATCATGCTCTTCCTTTAGACCCTTGCAAAGGCAATCTGCCATTGTGTGTCCTCTGTCCTGGGGCTGCAGGCAGGAGCTCTAGAATCAGCGATGGCCCTCCCCGCACCTCCCCTTGTGTGGCTGCATCAGCCACCACATTGGTGTAAGAAGAGTTTGCAGCTGGCATTTGGATGCACCAGTGAGAGACCAGGACTCAGACTAACCTGTGAAACTCATACTCCAAAGAAGTACTTAGTTAACAATACACTTTTCTTCAACACATGGAGTTTATGTTGTCAATTTTTGCTAAATTCAGAATGAATGTGACAGTATGCGAGGCAATGTTTGTTGGGGTCTAGAGATTATTTTCTATCTTCCAGCACCATCTGGCACTACAGTGGAAACTCTGAATGAATAAACATTGCTTATCATTCTGTCAGCCACTCATCCATCAGACAGAAGCTGAAACGCTAATGTACTCATCATCTTTGTCATTTGGCAATCAGGGACTACTTCACGGTAACTGAGACAAAGACCACAGATTAAGGTCCATAGCAGAAGTGGGCAACAGAGATTTAGCAAGCTTAATGTATTATTCAGTTTGACTGATGCTGATGCAGGGAACAGAACTTGATGGTTTTGTGGTTTCTATTTTTGAAGCCCCTTTTTTGCACAAAGGTGTCAGTTAACTTGCTGTGAGCTCTTTTTTTATTGTTGCTTAAATGAAGAGAAATGTTAAAATAAAAAAAAAAAAAAAGGAATGCTGAAGGGAACTGCATGATAAGTTCATCTCTGGTGACTTATGTACAGGTAGTGTCTGCTTGGAAATTATTGGGGCAGAGGAAGTGTACATGCATTAGGATGAACAACAACTAGTTCAAACATCTTGGGGCAATTCTGTCAGTTCCTTCCTTAGAGCAGACACCTGCATCCAGATTCCCTAGATTTGCTTCCCTTGTCACTGTAGCAATCATTACAACTCAAGCAGTGAGGACTCCTGGATAACAGACAGGTCCAGAATCCTTGATTAAAATGACCCTTCTTAAAACTCATCTTACCAGCAAGCTTTGTTCTGGTTTGCAGGGCCCACATGAAGGAGTTGCTTTGAAGAGCAGTGTCACTTTGATACAGAGTCGCTGCATCAGCACATGCACACTGTTGGGATCGCTACTTGAACTGGCTGGTAACAGAAATTAAAAGCACAGTGAAGTTTACTTTTCTATAATGCCTCAAAATTTCACACTGTTCAGGTGATGACACATTCAAGTGAGAATCCTTTTTGGAGGGACAGGTGAATAAGTAGATAAAAGAATAAAAAGCCTAATGGTAAAATTAGCTCACTCATCCATTTTTAAAGGGCTGGAAGTGTAGGGATGAGAATCTCAGGTTACTTTTTGTGTTCTGATTTCCTTCTGGTACAAACAGCTGAGTTCAAAATAGTATTCTCTCCTTTTCCTTTAATTGTTTTAAAAATGATGCAGTTGGTTATATTGTCACTGAGGACACGCTAGCTTCAATGTATTCTGATCCCTGGAAATGAACAAACTCTCTGATGCTGTCTCTGTGGGTGTACATGGCTTGTTAATACTGCTGTCACAACCCTTCCCCTAGCCAGCTCCATCCCTTGGTGTTGCTAAAAATGAAATCTTTCCGCTTTTGAATAATTTTTGTTTGTCCTCATTGACAGCTGGAACATTTTCTGCGAGTGGCAACTGAATGCAAGAAACACTGACACAGACCTTTTCAGCTGAAAATGTCCTACCCTTATCAGAGTATTTCTTGTTTTCTTTTGCTCTTTGTTTTTTAAAGTAGTCATAAAATGTCAAGTTAGTCTTACTCAGACTCTGAGACTCAAATCAGGAAAGCAAAGTGTGTAAGTCAGAGAGCATTTCCATACCAGTTACAAAGGAAAGGGATTGTTTATTTGGTGGGTCAGCTCTGTCCCAGTTTTCAAAGATGACGTAGGACTCCCCTGAAAAGACCTCCTGTGCCTTTTTCAAAAGGATGGCTACAGTTAATCAGGAAGACATGATTGAGCTCCCATTTCTGTTTTTGTGGGTCCTCACACTGATTTTCAGGAGAGCTGTAACATTTTTTAACATTAACTGGTTTAGTCTAATGTCCCTCCCACAGGGTTTTATCTCTGCGTATCAGGACTGATGACTGCATGCATTTATTTGTCTCAAAATCTGTCAGATTCATCTTTCTGTTATAATGAAATGTTTAGCTAGGCCGTCATTTTTGCTGTAAATAGATTCCCTTGGCTGCATCATAGTGGTGGATTATTTGCTCCAGAATATTTTCTTTTCATCGCAGATATGAATATACATTTCGGGACAAGCTTTTGAAATATTGATTTGCTTCAAGAAACTTCTTATAAGCAGGTCTTGGAAGTCAGCACTAAATCAGTTTTGTGTACTTTATTTCCCAAGGAATCAGACCCACTTTGTTTATTATCTAGCAAAACCCAAAGCATAATGGAAAAACCAAGACTGAATCAGGAAAGGACATTATAAAAATAGTGAAGCTGTCTTTCCCTGGCAATGGGGAAATACATTCATTCACTTTAATATAAAAAAGAAATAATGATACAATGATTAAAAAAAACACCAAAACACTGAAGGGTTCATACATTTATTTCAAATACTATCAAAATCTCAGCTATTCACATTTATTTCCAAATTCATTTTGCCCTGCAATCACAAAATATTAAAGTATATAATAGCATCAAGATATTAAACTCCATATTTAACAACAGTATTTAATCAGCTGCTCTTAACAAATACAGCAGGCCTGAAGTTTCTGACAGTTGTGCCTAGGGGAATGTGAACATAGCATCACTGAAGGAAGTTTACTGCCTCCATTCCTCGGTGAAAACAGTTCTAGCACACAAAAGCCTGACACAATTTTTCAGTAATCTCTGGCCCATCCATATCAAATGACACTCACGTGTCAGGACTTTTCTTCTGAGAGAAAAGTCCAGTCAGTGGCAATTATTCACACCCTGCTTCTTGGTCCTCCATCACACAGTGTGTAACCAATTCTCTGTTTCCACAACCCTCCTGTGCCCTGGAGTGAAGAGGTGGCTCTTTCCCTAAATGTCTTTGCTGCATTACACACGTTCCTGAGCATCTTCTCCTCACCTATCTCACTCAGAACGGACACGTTCAGCCATCTGTATAAGCTCCAAGAGTCACCTTAGACACTCAGGGTTCCCTGAGACCCTGCCTGGCTGGATATAACCCAGGAGGGGCAGGAGCTCTCCTGGAGCAGCAGACAGAGGGTAGAAGGTGCAGCCTTGGTCACTAGAGACCTGTACAAGCTCTGCCATCGCTCCCTTCAAGCCAAGGTCTTCCTGTTACCCTCAGAAAACTCATAAATAGCAACAGTTTATTTTCAAAGCTCAACTGCAGTTTTTCATCAAAGCCCTTAGAACTTCCTTTTCTTACTCACACCTCCAAACTGCAGCTTCCAAGTAGTCAGTCCGGAGCATCACAGTTTTCGAATAGGGGGAAATGAAGAAGAAAAAACTCTATTTCCCTTAGCAGATGCAAATGCACCCATACAGTTTACTCAGCCAAATGCATTCCTCGCATACAGAGGTAGAATATCTAGTAAACATCTTAATGGGGTTTTCTCCACCAGAATCCACAATAAAGGAATTTCTGTTCTGTCCAAAGGGAGAAGGCTAACCACTGTGTTACACCTATTGCAGATTAGATTCTTATAAGAAATTTGTTCCTGCATCAAATTCAGAAGTTTTAGTATCACAGACTCTTAAACATATTTGGGTGAGTCTAAAGCGCTAAATCACATTACCAGAAAATGCTGTTTGTGTCAAGAAAAACCCAGACATCCAAACAGCATCCCAGCCTAGCTGTACACTTGGAATCAAGGTCACAGTCCAAACCCACACGAAAGCACAAGGTTGTCTGAGCTTAGAGATTTTGTTTGAGCTCATCTTTTGATCAACTGGTAAAATAGAAAAATGGAGGAATATGCAGCCATCAGATGTTAATGTCAGATGTAAAAAGCTTACATTTTCTTTGAAATTAATCTTAAATGCTCAAATAAAGCTGTTTTCTCTTTCAACTCTTTGAAAATAAAATTACTAAATGACACACCCAGTTCAAATTTGATTTCTAGATGAACCCACTGATAGGGAAATCATTCAGGACCCTTTAATGTTATAGAAAACTGCACTTAATTACTTCTTAAGCACTTTTATCTACATAAAGTTGCATTACCTTGCATACGTCATCATTTAAATTCACTACTTACATATAAATATGTATCACATACTCTGCTTTGCTAATCACAAATATCATCTAAATTAATTCAAAAAGTGTAATTCTGGCTTATTCACCAAAAATGTACTTGTTAAGCAAAATATATATTATAGGACATAAATACAATAATAGGTGAAGGTCCTCAGGGTAGTATAAGTTATTACCAAAGTCAACAGCATGACTCCACTGAAATGAGCTGTCTGACCCAATGACAACTGCTGTGACAGGCATCAGCAGATACAAGACAACACAAAAAATATGTGTTTTAGTACTAGAAAACCTATTTACAAATGTTCTCTTAAAAGCTCATCTGGAATTAATAAGTGCTGATTTGACTGCTCAAGTGATGAGCAGGATACATTAAACTTGTTTTCTGGTGACTAGAAAATTTCTACTAAAAGATCTGAGCTGGTTGTCTTAAATGTAAGTGCACATTAGCTAATATATGTAATGAATAACTGTGTTCAACAGCACTGTTTCATTTAGGTTCATCTGAAGTCAAGTTAATAAAAGGCTTGTTTAATTAAATGCAGTTTTCCATGTTCTGCTTCAAACTGAACAGCCAAATTAATATATAGAAGCATTGCTCTGCTCAACTAGAGAAGTCATTATACCTTTTTTTCAGATAACAATCATAGACACTAAAGGATAAAACTGAGTACCTGTGTCATGGAATTATCAATTAAATGATACTATCCATTAGTACTGTGTTTTGAACTGGACCTTCTTTGGTCCTTTATCAACATCATGACACACACATGTCAAAAGCAGGTTCCAAGTTTTAAGGCATGGAAAAAAACCATGCAACTGCAAACACTGTTGAATTCTGCACAATGGATAGATAGACATCAGACTACTCAGTCTACATTTTAAAATAACTCTTGTGAACACAAAGCAGTCAGAACATTCAGGTTCTGCTTTCGTGGGTGTTATTGACGATGTAGGCAGGGACTCTTGATCCTCCAGTGGGCAAGTGAGTATTACACATTTATGTGGCCTGGCTTGTTTAATTGTACTTGACATTGGCGCAGTGCTTTAAAGTGCATAAAGACAGATGGTCTGTCTTGAATTTTATAGAAGAGTAGATGCTGACTATAGAACAGAAGAAGCTGTGAAAGACAAGAGGTAGCAAGCAACAGAAAGCTAATACATTCGTGGCGAAGTGATTAAAATTATATTATTCCATGAGCTGGATTCTGTGCCCGCAGAAGAGATAAGAAGGATACATCAACTGCACAAGCACCTATGAAATCTGCAGTCAATCATAGAGGCCTCTGACGGGAGAGCATGGACATTTGTATGCCAGTATCAGAAGCTGGACTGCTGGCAGCTTCTCCATTCATTCAGCAGCTGCTTCAGCCATGCTGCCAACTCCATGCTTCTCACTGCTGCCCTAGAGCAGTCTTTATGAAGACTTTATCTTAGAGTAAAATGCACTGCTCCCGTTGCACACTGTGGGTTTAAGGGAGGGCAATGGTGCTATTGCACAGCAGCTGCCTTCCTTCCAGCCCAGCCATATGCTGTTCGTCTTCCCTGAGAGACTCCTGGCTGCTGCTGTTCCCACGCCAGTCTTCATTCCCATAAAATGGTGAGAGTGTTCTTCTGACTGTGCTCTAACATAATGCCCATGTAATACCATTTCCTGTAAGCGTGTTAGCATGTCAATAGTAAATAGCAAATGAACAAAATTGTTCCTCCACTACTGACTCAGAGTTTAATTAGACACTGAAGTCAATCAATACATATCGACATGCTAAGCAGAAAGATCACATGGAGCAACTACACATAGGCATGCACACTTAGGGGCGGCCCTCCTGCAAAGTCGGGTTTGTGCAATCTGTGACGGGAAAGCGAGGGATACCTGGATTTTGAGGAAGTGTCAGCCCAGCACCAGAAGCCACAGTACATTGCTCCCGCAGCGATGAGAAGTGCAGTGCTCACCCAGCCCACATAGAGAGCAGCTCCTAGTTCTCGTTTCAGTGGCATAGGGACTTTCGGATCATAGAAGTCGCGAATGATGCTGCCTCCAGTCCAGGACACAGGGAGCAGAACAAGGATGCCCGTCAGGAGAAAGGCAACTCCAGCTGCCAGTACGAAGATGCTGATGCCCTGATGATCCTCCTTGGTCCTGTGAGTGTACTTCACACCAACAATGGCCATCAAAAAGGAAATGATTGACAAAATCACTGCAATGCACATGAGGGCTCTGAATGCCTCCAAGGTGGGAGGGAGAGCCAGGACAGAGTCATAAAATTTGCACTGCAGCCTGATGCCCAGCTGACTGATGCAGTCCATCCACAGTCCTTCCCAGATGGTCTCAAACACCACGATGTTGCCATCAATGTAGGCAGAAACTCTCCACTGCGGCATAACTGTGGCTGCCAAAGTCCCAACCATGCCGACACCTCCAAGTATTAGACCAGTGATTTGTAACACACAGCAAGCCATGCTTCTTCTGAAAAGGACACCTCAAGCAAGGTGGCCTAGAAAGTCTTCCAAAATCACTTTTTCACAGAAGAAATATAAAGTATGAGAGGGAATATTTTTTCCAGTAGTCTCCTCATATGGCAAGTTGTTGGGCTTTTTTAAAAGCAGCTCACTCCAGTCTGAGGTTCAGACAGGTGGAAATCCATTTCTGACTGGCTAGAAGGATGTGCTATTTATTTGCTTTGAAATCCCCTCTGACTACAGCGCCTACCCATCAAGCCTAACAAGTTTCCAGCCAATGGAAAACTAGAAGGGGTGTGTCATAGTTGATTTTACTGCTTCTCATAGTATGTCTGTAGTGATGCTATAATTAAGTAAGTGTCAGGGATTCAATTAAAGGCACCTAATTGCAGGGCTAATAATTTCTTAACTGCAAGATTGCAGCTATGTTGAAATTTAGTACAGAAAGTCTGAACTTCCATCTGTTAAAATATTATGTAAAATAGGTCATTACAGTTGTTCTTATGACAAAAGCTAAACTTGGACTTGGAGTGGGACTTACTTTCTAAGTGCTACAGCCCTGCGAAAACATCTGATTTTTTTTTTTTTTAAATCAAGCTAGTAGGTACTTTGTGTAGCTCTTTAATGTAGAGTCCTCATTTTGATCAAATACAAAAGTATAATCATGATATTAGACAGGTACAGGAAAGTCAAGTATTACAATCAACATCAAAGCTTTGCTCTACTAGATGCATAATTCACAAGGGAGACAAAGAAAATAGCTGGCAGAGTTTCACAGCTTCTGATTTTGAATCCACGAGTAAGGTCGCTGTTAGGAAATAATCCTCTATGAGACTCTGTCCCCCATTAGAAGGATAGTGTTGTTGTTATGTTCCATGCATAGGTAACATTAGGAGGGGCTGGGGGCAATTATCTAATATGGAAAGGATGAGCTTTTCTTTCAGTGTACAATGCACTTTGAAAGAAGTCAGAGATCCCTCCCACAAGCATGTGTCTCAGGCTGCACACATACCTACAAGCCTGGACAAAAATTTGTGCCGAAGACTGATTTGCCTTGGGCAAGTTAGGAATAACTGCTGCATTATGGATTTTTTTACTTTCTTCTCCCTACCTTGAGATAATAGTATATGATGACAACTCATGGGTGTTTTTGGAATGGATGTGTTTCTGGTTACTCCAGCTCTTTGAACCAATGGGGCTAGTAAAAAAACAAAGTTGGCCCACTAAAGGCAATGAAGGCCCCTAGAAGTTCTGTCAAAGAAAGACATATTCTTTGATTGCTTGTGGGTTGTAGTGCGGGCTCTGTGTGTTTGGAAATATCAGACATTGCCTCTGATGGTATTAATTTATTTACAGCCTTAGGTTCCTACACAACATATTCAAAGGAAAAGCTTAACCCATGAAAAGTGAATTGCCCATCTAACCCATTCACAGCCCACAAAATCACCTTCTTCCTACAGTTACTAACTGTAAGGAAGGAGTGTCAAATGATGCAAGTTATACTATATGTTGCATGTCCATGTGGAAACTACTCCCAAGGGATCTGGGCAATTCATTTTTGCCTTCAAGTCTGCTAGAAGGAATCTGGAGAGAAAAACTGTCTTCAGCTAAGATGTGAAATGTAACTTTTAGAAACTAAATGCATTATCAGATTTGTTCTTATAGAGAGACGAATACTGCCTCACTCTTCTTCAGACATAAAAAAAACAATCCCGTGATGCAGAAAAGTTAAGTCACTTTGCTCGATGCCACAAAGAAGGATGTGGTAGAGATTAAAACAGAAGTCATAGGTGGTTACCTGTCTAAAAGAAACTCCTTTCTCTGGCAGAAGACTGCTCCCTTAGAAGAAGACTGAACACAAGAGCTGTGCTATTTAACTTGAGTACAGCCTCCATTCATCCTGTAGGACTTTTTAACCTCTGAATTCTCAAAACTGTTTTTTGATTTGTTATTTTAACTTCAAAAAATAAATTAATTTATTATGGAAAAGCCCTCTCAAAACTAGCATTTAAATATCATTTTTTCAACAGAAAAACTTTGTGCAACATTTTCAGGCAGCCAGCTCTTGAAGATATACACAGCTGGAGAACAGATCATGCCTAATGCCCCAGATCTGTTTATCTGACTGCTTTATCTAGCAGAATTTCTCTGAAATAATTTTTCCTTACATGACTCTGGGAGGGTCAGCCATTGAGGTCCTGCATAAAATTACAATCTCTGAGAGACAGGGCATGGTTTGTATAGAAGATGAACTGCTTGCAGAAATACTATTAAAATGCATCATATGCTGGTTGTGTAGCAATATATCAAGAGAGTGCTAAATGGTTGAGTGGTTTTTTGATCTTTAATCAGAAATAGTACCTATGGTGAGTGACATCCAGTGTAGGTGTAGGCGTAAGAGAGGAACACCCAGGCTACACTGCTGCATGTACTGTCTAGTGGCGAGATGGTTCTTGTTATTGAAACCAGAGAGGAAGGAAGCAGGAAAGGAAAACAAATAAACGTCCATTTTGAAACTTGAAGATAAATTTCAAAAATTAAAATGAGCTACAGGAGACATATTGAAAAAAAAAAAAATCAAGAAACACTACCAACATCTTGGAAACTCATGAGGACTGGAAAATCTCATCAATCTCTTAAATGCCAGTGAGACCCTGGTTTTGCTAATCACTGGAAGAATTATCTTTTGCCAGAAAGTCCTGTGTTTGAATCAGGCTGGAGGGAGCTCTTACACCCTTGTATATCCTAGAGAACTGTATGTCCATTTAAAGACTCACCTCACCTCTCAGAAGGAAACGCTTAGTTGACTCAGTTACTTCAAAATCACTCTGAAGAGCAGACAGCTCTTAAAGTAGAAATTAAATACATAATTTCATGTTGGGCATGGCAGACACAATGGCTTTAGAGTCAGGTGAGAAGAAATAAAAGGAAAACCCCATTTACACCTGACTAGACTTTAGAAGTCTCCTCATGCTGTGTATTATCCATCTGTTATGCTATTTGGATGCTAACCTGCCTCAAGTTGAGAATACCAGTTCTTATGCAAACGTCCATCCCAAAATTTGCCTTCAAAGAGGAAAATAGACAACTGAGGAAACACATAGCCTTCACACCTAATCTTTCCCTGGATGTCTGTTCAGATTTACATTTTCTCTCCCCTTCAAATCAGGTTATTCATTTGAATCTTTTCCTGGGGCAATATCTTCTGTTCCCTCCCTAGCTTTTAAAATGCTGATGCCCCTTGAAAAGGAGGAAGTAGAGCATCTCCAAACCACATAATTAACAGAACCTGTCAGTTATCCCCAGTGCTTAACTAATCATAAGCATCAATAATCTAAACACCTAATTGCCTCCCAGAGAGCAAGTTTCATTCCACTTTGTATATCTTCTATGTACACTGAATTTTAGAGTCCTTATACATGCACATTAACTTATATGTAGACAAATAGACTTTAATCTTGTACAAATGTACAGCTATAATGTATATAGTTCATTATGAGCTCTCGTCAAGAATAGCTAATGAGCTAAATGTAAGGTTCAGTAACATTTCTGGAATAGGCAAATATGCAGATTTATCAAAAGCACACTTTAGATTTGTGATTACTAAGAGTTACAGTTAAGTCTCTTAACCTCCCAGAGGCTGCAGCTATCCAGTAAAGATGCAAAGCTGCTGAACCACCTTCAGCCCCTTGCAGTGGGGAGTCTGGCAGGCTGTGCCTCTGCAGTCACTCTGCAGCCCATCCCCTCGGGGAGAGGTGCTGGATGAAGCCACACAGACCTAGATCATCCTCTGTATGTAAAATCTGCTTTAAGCCTGCAACAAATAGGATTAGGATTCTCTACAGATCAACTGTTTTGGAAACACGTGAATGGCATCAGTTCCTCCCTACATGTGGCTTCCACTAGTCCATTCATTACATGCTGGGGTAACCAATTTGTTTTCAACTATTTACAAGGGCTGGTCAATGAAATCATAGTTGAGTTAATGGTTCCATTACTTCCCATGGTTTTTTGATTGACTATATTTTGAGCCTATTGGTGAAGGAAAAGGTTACTTTGATTCTGTTCTAATTCAGGAGAAAATGAACTGAAGCCAAAAGAGGCCTTTTTATTTGCACTAACTTTAATATTGCTGCCTGCACATATATTAAAAGATGAAGGCACATCTCCTTCCGCCTCTCTTCAAGCATGGCACATTTTGGAATGAGAGCAACATCTGCTCAGTGTAGCTTAGAGAGGGACTTCCCCCAGACACATAACAGGCACTGTACTTGGGCACTGACCTCTAACTCTAGCTTGGAGGCAACCCATGACTGACAGCTGAACTGAAAAGAACTAATATTTATTTTCCGTCGTCTTCCTCGGCATGCCTGAAATTCACGGCCTGACAAAACTGCCAAACTCTTAATGATATTCCACGTCTGAGGCAGCCTGTCTCCTGGACACTGAATGAACTCGAGTTTAGTGTAATAAAACCCTACGGTAATAAAATATTAAATACTCCTTTGAGTATTTAATCCATCTAAACTGCTTCAGGCTTTTACATGGTATTTGTCACCTCAATACTTACGTACGGGGAGCAGCCATCCTGATAGAAATAGAACCTGCCAGAAAATATGCTATCTAACTTTGCTGTTTAATGACAGGACCTCAGAGCATTCCTCTAGAAAATATTTAGGGGCATTTAATTATGCAGTTCACGTTAAGCTGTTGGAAATACAACAGTGGCAAATTCCCAAGGCAGTATTGATTGTTTTCAAAAGAGTTAGCAGCAGGGTATACAGTTAGGCTATTACTGGATGAAGCACAGGGGAACTCCTTTATTTACATGATTTAATATGATGAAATGAAAGAGGAGGAGGAGGTATATGGTGGCAGTGATGGCCTAAAGACAGATGAGAGACAATGTTTGCAGAAAGAGATAATAGCTTTTATTAGACTACCTGATACTGTTAGAAACAAGCTCTTAGACTCAGAATCGCAAGAAAGATTGCTATGGGAGCACAGCATAATTATACACCTGTGAACTAGCTTTACAGTAACCAAGCAGCCCAGGTAATTAAAAAATAAAGTCTCAGACTTTGAAGAACAGGGTTTTTTTCCCATCCTTCTCAGTCATAATTTGGCCTTCTCCCTGTCCAGTCCTGTCCCACTCACTTTTTATGCTC